AGTCAGATTTCAAAATTAGTGCTGAAGGAATGATGTCAAATGACACTCATCAGAAGTAGAATACTTACAGTTTTTCAAAATAAGTATTACATAGGTAATATATAGTTATAAATGTGTATGGTGAAACAATGAAGTGGCTGTGTAGTGATTCTGATTATATACTCAACCACTTGCCTAGTGATATGAGAGGTCATGCTGGATGTATTAGACACAGAATCTACTTCCTTTTCTGCTAAGGACACTTGAACACACGGCTCTCCTGTCTGGAGAAAGTACTCTGTTAACCAGACTAGAAATAACTCGGAAATAAGTTGTGTTGTGCTGCTCTGTATAGAAAATTAAACATTCAGTGGAGCAGGGACTGGAACCAGATGTCTCATTTCCCAAGGGACTAATCTAGCCACCAGGCTAGAGAGTTATATTTTCTCATTACTCCTCCCTTTCTCCATTTATGTACAGTTTATCCACTGGAGACAGTTCCAATTGGCCTGTAGCATTAGAAATTATCACACTGGCATATAATTTTCCCCAGGGCATAATTGGGCCATGCCTAATTCAAATGGAAAGAGAGAATGATTAGCCAAAAGTTAGATATTTCAGTAGGTCGGGCATCAAGACCTGCATGATTCATCGCACAGATAGTGTTATTTTTATTTGCTTTAGCATAGGAATTTTTGCAGCCTCAGGGTTGCCTCAAGGAGCCAAGAGAACTTCAGTTGCAGTCTGAATTTAAAAGAATATAAGAAAATCATCCCTTGGGCTGCAGGTAGGGAGATAATTCTTCCTTTCTACTTGGCACAGATGAGGTATATCTGCAGTGCTGTGACCAGCCTTGGGTTTCCCAGTTGATGAGATATGTGGTCATACTGAAACGAGTTCAGCATAGAACCACTAAGATGAGAAAACCACTAGACCCTCTCTCCTATGAGGAGAGGTCGAGAGAGCTGGGATTATTCAACCTGAAGAAGAAGGGGCTCAGAAAGGAATGCATTCATGTGAATAAATATCTGCTGGTAGGCAATGAAGAGAGAGCCAAGCTCTCTTTAGTTCTTCTCATTGACAAAGCAATGTGTCCATGCAAGGAGCAATGGGCACAATCTGAAATGCATGAGATTCCAGCTCAACACAAGAAAAATCCTTCTGTTTCACCACACTGACAGAAACAGGTTGCCCTGGGAGGCTGTAAAGTCTTCCTCCTTGGAATTATTCAAATCTCAACTGGACATGGACCTGGATACCTGCCTTATCTGCCTGTGCTGCCTTGTGGTTGGACTAGGAAGTCTTCAGAAGCACCCCTCCCAGCATCAGTCTTTCTGCCAAAGATGTTTAGTTCTGTTATTTTTCTTTTTGACAGATCTGCATTAACACTATGAATACTTCTCAGCCCTGTTTCTCTTGCTCTCAGATTAAGATGTGAAATTAAAAGCTTGTGAACAGTATAAACAATACTGAAATCTTCTCTTAAATTCATAAGAGAGAAGCCAATTAGACTTATGAGACCAGCATGATTACATAAAGATAGTATTGGTGGAAGAGTCTCTGTCCACTTTTAACTGGAGCTGAGTTGTGTCCATATTAGTCATTGAATTTTCCTGAATAGTTGTAGTATATGTGATATTTTTGACATATTAGCAGTTTGATTCTGCCCAGTGGAAGAGGCTTGACCCCTCCAATACTGCAGGTTTTGGGTCTATGTTCAAATCTAGGTAAACTAGGGCAGGTTTGGGCATTGTTCCTCGAAGCATCTCCCCAGTGCCTTACACCACTCATCCCTGTGCACAGTTCCCTCGGCTGTACCACAGAATGGCTTGTAGCACTGTGCAGTGAACTGTACTAAGGTACAGCTGGAGGCTAAGAATAGTTTTCACAGAGCTGTTTTCAGCCGTCATTGGTTCCCTGCCCCAGTTTACTGCTCGGCCCCAGACACCAGAATCTGAGTAGCTGGAAGGCAGGGCTGCTGCACAGGGAAAAAGCTCTGCAGCCCACTTGGGGAAGCAAATACTGGGTTTGTGTGTCACAGGCAGTCAGGTAGAGAAATACTGTTGTATTTCTGAATAGAGCTGGAATGGTATGTGTATTAACTCCATGGAATCAATAACCATATTTCTAAAACATGTTGTTTTAGTCATTTGTACAAAATTTGAACTGTCACGCTGTAAAGTCTTGGATTTTATGGTATTCAAAAAGCATGCCTGTGCTTTCTGAGAAATTGAGTAACTGAGCAATTATTTTTGCCTTTCAAAATATATTTTCGGTTTCTTTACTAAAGATTTCTATTCTTCATGAAATGCAGAAGAACAGAGCAAGGTGTGAGCAAGACCCAAACATCTTTCAACTTTCAACTTCCTTGTTTTAATAGACAGACAGAGTTTATCAAACGGAATCATTTGCAGTTATTAGGAACGAAAGCAGAGATAAGCTTGGTAGATATCAGAACGTGCATATTGCAAAGTCAGTCATGAAGACATCCATAGGGATTTGATAAGCTGTGCAATCATGTCATAATGAATTATAGAATGGCTTGGTTTGGAAGAGACTTCAAAG